ATCAGTAAAATTTATAAGTAATGATAATTGCTTTTATAAGAGATCAGTTTAGTTTCAGTTTTATTACTTGCTAAAATGGAGAATAACAGCATGCATGTACTATGTAGAGCTCTTTATATGTATCATAATCTCTAAAAATAAGAAATTATTGCTGAGAATTTGATTTATTTGTAGTTGCCCTCATTTGTGCTGGTACCACAGCAATCCAGTGATGATCCTGAACTGAGTCTCAAACTAGCGAGGATAGAATTGGAGAATGAAAGGCACATGAGAGAGCTTAAAGACAAGGAAAGGCAAATAAAAGAATATGAAGAGGAAATAATTCTACTCAAAACACAAAAGAGTTATAGAAATGAGTTTGAAGCTTGTTCGAGTGAAAAAGAGCGACTGCAAAGAAATTATGATGCTGACATGGAGAAGTTGAAGGTAGTAATCAAGAAACAACATAATATAGAGTCTACTCTAAGAAGTGAATTGAAGGTGCTACAAGACACTGTCACAAAAATTGAAGCTGATAAACAATTGGTAAGGAAATTATAATGTGTGCCTTTTCTATTGTTTTTTTTTTAATTACAGGAATTAGAAGAACTCAATGAATCAAAGGTTCTATTGTTAAAATAATTATTATGATATATGTATTTTTGATAGAAAAAGCATGATGAAATGGGAAAAAAAATTGACGAACAAGAGAAAATTGTCGTTGAACAGAAAAAAGTGAATTAATTTATTTATCTATTTATTATTGTTATTAATTTTGTTAGGATATTGAGACTTTGCAAGTTACTAATAAAAAGCTCACTGAAGATGGAATAAATAAAGAAAGTGAATTACAAGACATCAGAGATCATTTACAGAAAGTAGAGGATAAGCTTGCCAAAAATATGGAAGAGAAAGATGAAGTGATAGCTAGTCTACAACAAGCGGTTGAAATAAGAAGTGAAACAGTGTCTCAGATGAAGCAAGCACTTGATCAACAAATGATGAGGGCTAATGAACAATTGGAAGCTAAACAAAAGCAGATTGATCAACTAGCTGAGAAATTACAAGTGGAAGAAGCACTGGTATGTACGTGTAAATTTCATAACTTTAGTTACCATATAGCCACAAAGTTTCAAGGCAATAAACTTTCGCGAATCAGGCCACAAGTCTTTTTTCGCGAATTAACTTTCGTGGTTCTTATTTTAAAGCACACGTGTTTATGGGCAATACAGATAATTTTACGGAATTAACTTTCGTGAATACAGAAAATCCATGAAAACGGCGAAATTTCTTGCTAAAATTAATTTTTGTCAATAAAATTTTTGTCATTTTTGTTATTAATCCGCATACTACCCACGTGGAACAAAAATTTTGTTGGTTAAAAATTTTTTCAAGCAAAAGTACCTAACGAATTTGACGAAAATTTTGACCGACGAAAATTTGGAGCTATACGGTAATTATATCTTTAATATTTATGGGTGTGGTCTGTACAGCTAGCCACACCTACATGATTCCTCATCAACCCATCATTTTTTTTTGGTTTTTTGAGGTTTTTGATAGAACGTAAAAACCATGACTCCTATGTCTTGCTCTGAGCTACAATAATAGTGTGTATCAGAGATTTCAGTATTCAATTGATGTAATCATGGAATATTGTAGGTTTGTAGGATGGCTGAAGGAAGTGCTAGCCAGAAGGAGGCCAATGACAAATCAAGTTCTGATTGGGACTGGCCAACTACTACTTGGTCTACTGATGCAACATCAAGAATTTCAACTTCAAGCCATTCCTGGACAGATACTAGTAAAGTTTCTTTGTCGAGCTCGAAATTTAAAGCTCTCCCCAACCAATTTAAACACCCTACAAGATCTAGTAGCATCGCTGCCGGTAATAATAGAGGCACAAAAATTCCGCAAGTAAGCTTAATTATCCTGATCACTGTTTGACTTGAGCTTTTTTTACTACCACACCTGTCTGATACTTTTTACAATTATTAGGAAAATGACAAACTAACTATTCAACAGTTAGAGGAAAAAATTGAATCTCTTCAGAAAAAGTTGGAAGTGGAAGAACGCTTTGATAAGCAATTTACCCTCAAGGGGTGTATTAAAAAGTTTCAGGAAGAATATGAGAAGTTGAAAGCTGAGAATGTGACACGACAGCTAGCTGAAGCAAGTAAAGATATTAATCATGAGAGGCAAAGAGTAGAAAAACTAGAAGAACAAGTTAATGAAAATCAAAAAGAATTAGAAAGAATCAAGAAAGAAAAAGTAGCTGAAGTCAGTGAGCTAGAAGAGAGAATTCAACAATATAAGAAAAAAATAGAAAAGCAAGAATTAGCTACTGATGCAGCACAAAGTGAAGTGGAATTTCTAAAAAAAGAAGAAGATAGATTAAAGAGAAAAATTGAAGAATTGGAAGAAGAATCTCAGAAGACAGCCATTGAATCAACACGACAAATTGAAAAACAAGAGAAGGAGTTTTTGGAGACAGAGAGACGACAAAATGAAGCACTTACTAGAGACATCGAACAATCCGCAAGAGCAGAGCTTAAAAAGCAAGAAGATGATTTTAAATCTCAATTAAAAGATAAAGAAGATGAAATTTTAAGGTATATGGAATGCAGTCTACATGTATTTATTATTATTATTCCATTAATACAGGGTTTCTAATCAACTTAATGAGCAACAGGCAAAGTTTGAAGCTTGTTCGAGTGAAATAGAGCGACTGCAAAGAAATTATGATGCTGACATGGAGAAGTTGAAGGTAGCAATCAAGAAACAATATAATATAGAGTCTACTCTAAGAAGTGAATTGAAGGAGCTACATGATACTATTACAAAAATTGAAACTGATAAAAGATTGGTAAGGAAATTTATAATTTTGTGCCTTTTCTATTGTTTTTTTAATTACAGGAATTAGAAGAACTCAAGGTTTTATTGTTAAAATAATTATTATGATACTCATATTTTTGATAGAAAAAGCATGATGAAATTGGAAAAATACTTGATGGACAAGAGAAAGTGGTTGATAAACAGAAACAAGTAAATCATTTATTTTTATTTATCTTTATTGTTATTAATTTTGTTAGGATATTGAGACTTTGCAAGTTACTAATAAAAAGCTCACTGAAGATGGAATAAATAAAGAAAGTGAAGTACAAGACACCAGGGATCAGTTACAGAAAGTGAAGGATAAGCTTGCCAAAGATATGGAAGAGAAAGATGAAGTGATAGCTAGTCTACAACAAGCGGTTGAAGTAAGAAGTGAAACAGTGTCTCGGATGAAGCAAGCACTTGATCAACAAATGATGAGGGCTAATGAACAATTGGAAGCTAAACAAAAGCAGATTGATCAACTAGCTGAGAAATTACAAGTAGAAGAAGCACAGGTGTGTGAATCATAATAGTAGTTATCATTATTTTGTATTAATTTTTAGAGTGCAATTTACAAGCAAGACTTTGAAACTGAAAGAAACGATCGACAGAAGTTACATCAATCATTAACTGATTTGCAAGCTCACTGTGAGTATTTGAAACTGAGATTAACTGAAGAAGAGGAGAAGTTTACTACTGCACAAGGGAAGTATCATGAATTGCAGCAACAAAATGCAGCTGATAAAGAACAGATTGACGTGAGTTTTGCTAAATATACTGAACTAGATTTTATTTTATTTTTATAGGAATATTCTAAGCTCATTGCATCTTTTACAGATGAGGAAGAGAAAACTAAAAGAGAATTTAAAAAAGCAAAAGAACAGTTTTCTAAGGAAAAGACAAAACTGGAAAAAGTACATGAATAATCAACAATAATTTGAAATGAATTTTTTAAAAATAGAAAATCAAAGAATTAGAACAAGGAGAAACAGACAGAGTGAAAGAAATGGAAGAAGAAATTCAAGTATTAACAACGCAAGTCAATGCTTACAGTCGTGAGGTGGATAAACAGAAAGGATTAGTGACCCAGAGTCAAGAGAAACACAAAACTGAGGTATACACAAATTGCTCACATGAATGAATGTGGTTATTATTATTTTGTTGTTAGGTCATTCAACTAAAGGAAAAGTTAAAAACTGAAATGAAGTCTAAGGTATTTACACATGTCCCTTATTTACAACTTTACTTATTAATTGTTTTTTTGTAGACTACTGAACATAGAAATGAAAAACAACAGCTGGTAATGTAGTTTGTGTTTATACTTTTTGCATATCAACATTATTTAAGCAATATTATGCTGGCATAGAAAAGCAATGTACAGTATATGTTTGTTTGGCCATCGTTTAAATTATATTGTTCAATTAAAATGACACTTATACTTTTAATGGTTACAGGTGACTAAGACTAGTGAGTTAGAAAGGAATCTCACTGCTGAATTAAAATCTAAGGGACAGCAACAGCATTTGGTATGTACTCATTGCTTGTCTTACTTGCGATTAATTGTACGTATCATTGTATGATAGATCAGTGAGTTAAACAGAAGACTTACTAACGAAACGAAAGCCAAGCAAGAACTGGTAATATAATGTGTGTATGTGTGTTTAATGACTGATACTGTAGGCACAGCAGTTTGATACTTTATCAGCTAATTACGAAAAATTACTGGCAGCATATCATGAGGAACAAGCAATGGTTACTAAACTAGAGGATAAAATAGAAAAAATGAAGGAAGCTAATGTGGTATGCTATGTATACTATAGTAATGATAAACTTTTGCATTAAGCATTTAAAAATTTTGGTGCAGTATTTGAGAATTATTAATTTTTTAAAGGTACTGAGAAGCAAAATTCCGCAGCAAGTAAATACTACTGATCCTCATGGTATCAGAGAACCTCAACACCCACATTATCCTTTACCTTCCAATATTGCTGTACGTCCAAACTCCACTCCTGCACCAGTTCCTGAACCAGTGGTACAGAGTGATGGTGATAGCATGTTAGTAGTATCAAAGACTGAGGGAGTCACTCCTGCTCACCATACTGATAGTGATAGTGTTCCTGATGATAGTCCTGCTTTTATGTCTAAAGAAGAAATGGCTAGGATGTTTAAACCATATAATCAACAAGGCAGCAGTGATTGGAGTCAGTCACTTCAACAGGTTGAAGATTCATCATTAGCAGCGCAAAAGGTGCAACCAACAGAAGAATCATTAGTTGCTGAACAACACAGACAAGAATTAGCAAGGAAAGTTGATGATGCATTGCTTGAAGTTGATCGTATGAGAAGACAAGCAGAACACCAACAAACCAACAATGATTCCAACACACAAGATCAATCAAGAACAAAGGGTCAGTTAACAAGAGAAGAGGCTGAAAAAGGTAGAAGGCCAAACACATTTCAAGACACTGCATCAAAAGAAAAACCAGTTCACCCACAACCAAAGGCCAACGATAATCAAGGAAAGCAGCAACGGAAGACTGATGATGATTCAGACTCTGACATTGAAGAGAATAAACTGATTGATAATATTGATGAAGAGATACAACAAATGGCTGAAGATGTACGTAAGGGAAGCAGAGGCCCAAGTACAGCTGAGGTTCTGTTTGATGATGGTAATAGTTCGTTACCTTACGACCCGAATCTAGTCTGCCCAAAGTGCGGAAAACAGTATCGTGTGGGAGAGATCCAGAAATTGAGGAGACATATAAATGAATTCTGCACAGGAATAAGATAGATGATTAATGGCTGTACATTTGGTTTTTGATTTATTTGCAAACACACACTTACACAGAATTGTATTTACACTAATTTTTGGTTAAAATTTTGATTATTTTCAATAGTGGGCGTGTTATACATGTAGGCCTAGTTTCGGGGGAAATCCCACTGAAATAGATTGTTCAAGAGTGGACTATTGCTTTTTAGAAGTGAAGACTCACAAGACATTTCGTCCATATTGACACGTTTCTACTGAAATCAAGGACTCAAGTAAAGAAACTGCTCGTATTTGTTGTGAAGTGTACCGTTTTGTGAGTAGCATCCTACTTCTTTGTTTGAGGAAATGTTATTTAAGAATCCTTTTGAATGAAACTCTTAAATCTTACAATTAATCCTATCACTCTTGATCCTATACCGACTCATTAGACTTGCACGTAACTATACATGCTTTGAGGTTTTGATTTTGAAAGTGTATAACTCTATTATTGATATATACTTTTGGTGTCATTCATTTTAACTATTCTGTGTGTTATAATTTTCAGGACTCAATGGGTTCTTGTCTTTGTTCTAGACGAAAGGAAAGTAATGTAGAAACTGGGAAAGTGGAAGAAAATATAGAGGATGGTCAAAATGCTGCAGAAGAAGTTAGTTTTATAAAATATTCTGATTTTGTTATTTTTATAATTAGTGTCTGAACAACATTAGTTTATGCTAATATTTTTTCATCTGATTATTTTTTTAGCTTCCAGAGGTACTTGATAACACTGAGGGAGTGGAAGAAAATATAGAGGATGGTCAAAATGCTGCAAAAGAAGTTAGTTTTATAAAATATTCTGATTTGTTATTTTTATAATTAGTTTCTGATCAACACTAGTTTATGCTAACATTTTTTCATCTGATTATTTTTTTAGCTTCCAGGGGTACTTAATAACCAATTTGATAACACTGCACCTCTTAAAGTTCAGGCTCAGGTGCCACCTGATCCACACGATCCTGCAGCTTATAATCATCCTCATGCTATTGTTGATGATGATGAGAAATTGATTAGAACAGAATTAGAGAGGGATAAATACAAGAGAGAGGTTGAGGACAAGGAACATCTGATCAAAGAATACGAAGAGACAAATATTAGACTTCAAAAACAACTGAAGTTGGCACAAAAATCAATAATTGTGATGCAAAAGGAAAAAGATGAACTAATGAAGGGGAAGGAGGAAGCGGAGAGGGAAAAGGACCAGTTGGCTAAAAAGTTAGAAGACATGGAGTTGATGGGAAATGTTGAAGTAACTGAAGTTCGTAAAGAGAAGGAGAGAGAGATAGCCAAGGCAATGGAAGCAGTTAAACGTGAAAACAAAAAGAAGGAAGAGCTTCAGAAGGAACTGAATGACATGGAGGCCGACAAAATAGACCAACTTCAACTTCAGAAAGCAACAGTTGATGATTTGAGAATTAAACTAGCACAAAAAGAGGAAGACATTCTCCTAGCACAAGCAGAAACTGCTACAGAGAGAAAAGAGAAAGAAGCATCGCAGGAACAATTACTTAAAGAAAAAGAGGAAGAGAAGGAAAGATTACAGAAGCAGCTGGAAGACTTAAAAACAGAGCACGAGATCAAACTGAGGGAACAGAAAGAGAAGCACAAATTCAGAAAGAAAGAACTGAAAAGTGAAGTGGAGAGACTGACAAAAGCTGAAAAACTCCGACAAGTTAGTAGATATACTTATAATAATAATAATAATAATATGTACATGTATGTGTACATGTTTGCTTCTATTCATAGTCTTTAATACATACTTGTAATATATATTACATACATGTACATGTATCTTTAGCTTATTATTATTATATGTATTTATTTTTTATGCAGAGTGAAGTTCCTGATATTGGTGGCACTAAACGAGAGACTGAGCTTGAGAGAGAACTGGGTATAGAGAAAGATCACGTGACTAGCCTTCAAGAAAGAATAGCCACCATGAAGGAAGGACTCCAGGAGGAGAGGATCAAGGCAAAAGATAAAGAGAAGCTTCACAAACAAGAATTGGAGAGAGAGAGAGCTCAAATCAAAGTATTAACTGATGACAGAGCTAATCTTGAAAGAAAACACAAGCAGGAAGTAGCTAGTTTGAAGGTATGTGCTATGTCTAATACAAGTTTTCAATTATTTCTTTATTTTAGGAGCAATGGAATAATGAAGTAAAGCAGCTTAAGAATGAATTAATTGCTCGTCAGAAAGTAAGACTATATACAGCTGCTTGTTTTATAGGGAATTTTTTGAGGCAATTCTGATCAGTAATATGTATTTTGCCATTTCCTAAAAAAATTGGTACAATATTGAAGCCCTAGTTTGAGATGGTATTATCAAAACTAAGAGGGTGTGTTGTTTGCATAAGTTGGCTTCAAGGGCTGAGCTTATAATTTAAACTTTAAAAATGGCAGAACGTCGCATGACACGGAGTCAATATAGAAACCAAAAACCTTATGAAAGACCAATAGCAAAGAGAATTGTAAGACTTCAGCTCAGCTACAAATGTATATACAGTATATGCATGTACTTGGATTTGATATAATGCTGTGTTTTGTGCTGATCTGACTTGATGATGATCCTCATGTAGGATAATGAAGAAATGAAGAATGAGCTGGAACAAAAAAAAGCTGAGACAAGACGCTTGAAGCACTCAGAAGAAGAGCAAAGGACTGGATTAGAAGAGAAGGAGGCTGAGCTCAAGAAAGTTCAAGATGTAAGACTTTAGCTTAAATTAGCTACTAAGTTACAAATGCATATATATGCATATATATGCATGTACTTGGATTTAATATTCATCCACTGTAATGCTGTGTTTTATGTGTTCTGATTTGATGGTAATTCTCATGTAGGATAATGATAAAATGAAGAATGAGCTGAAACAAAAAGAAGCTGAAACAAGACGCTTGAAGTACTCAGAAGAAGAGCAAAGAACTAGATTAGAAGAGAAGGAGGCTGAGCTCAAGAAAGTTCAAGATGAAAGAAACCAAACTGTATCTCAATTACTTCAAAGAGTTAAAAATCATGAGAGTACTATAGCTCAATTAGAAGAGCAGCTGGGAGTTAAAAATGCAGAGGTACTAATGTTACTGTATAGCAAGAACTTGCACTTTATCTTTGGTGCCAGTACACCAAGTCATATACCGTACAATTGCATCATTTATAAGTCTCTTTTTTATTTTAGATTGATATTTATAAGCAAGATTTTGATAATGAGAGAAAGGATCGTGAAAATGCTCACTCCAAAGTGGCAGTATTAGAAGTGAAAGTGATGGAATTGACAGCACACCTAGCAGAGAAAGAGACTGAACTAGCTGAAGCAAGGAAGGAGTCCAAAAAGCTAAGAAATGTACCTATGATTATAAGATTAATTTTATTATTAACACTATTCTATATTAAATGTAATAAAATCTGTGCTTAAAAATCATTTTTTGAAATTTTTAAATAGAAAAGCAAAGAATTGGAACAAGGAGAGACGGACAGAGTAAAGGAAATGGAGGATGAGATTCAAGTATTGACTGCTCAAGTCAATGCTTACAGTCGGGAGGTGGACAGACAAAAGAGATTAGTAACTCAGAGTCAAGAGAAACAAAAAAATGAGGTATGTATACATTATACTTGTATATGTACTTGTACATTATTACCATTATTAAGAATGACTGTAATTTTGACCAAATGCAACTTTAAAAATTCATAAAAAATTCAATTTTGATTGGATTCAGCTCAAACTTGAAATATAGCATAAGAACATGTATATGTATTAGAAAAAATTATAAAAATCAAAAAAGTTTTCCTAGTCAATTTTGGCAAAATTTGGCAAAAATCCCTGTACTATAGTACAGGGACTTTGGCCCGATTTTTGAGCAACTTTAAAAATTCATAAAAAATCCAAACTTGATCAGAATCCGCTCAAACTTGCTACACAATATAAGGACATGTATATGCATCAGAAAAAATTATAAAAATGCAAAATTCTCTCCTTGTCATTTTTGGCGAAATTTGGCCGAAATCCCTGTACTATAGCACAGGGACTTTGGCCTGATTTTGGAGCAACTTTAAAAATTCGTAAAAAATCTAATTATGCTCGGAATCACCTCAAACTTTCTACACAACATAAAAACATGTATATATATCAGATAAAATGATAAAAACAAAGAATTCTCTCATTGCCATTTTTGATGAATACCCTGTACTATAGTACAGGGACTTTGGCCAGATTTTGGAGCAACTTAAAGAAATTCAATTTTGATTGTAGTCAGTTTAAACTTGATAAGACATGTACATGTACATGTATATGCATCAGAAAAAAATAAAACAATGAGAATTTTGTCAGAGCAATTTTTGACAAAATACCATGTACAGCAAGGAGCCACAGTTTGCATTTAACATTTCATATTTACATTATTATCCTATCTGTATCCTGTACTTATACTACATGCATTATTATAGGTCAGTGAGTTAAATGAGAGACTTGCTAATGAAATACAGTCCAAGCAACAACTGGTACAAATACTCTGTATAATGTGAGTGTGTGTATTTAATATACTTACTGTAGGATGGTGAGCTGGCTAGGATGAGACAACAGTTAGCCAATGTATCTGCTAATAGAGATGAATTATTAACAGCATACAATAAGGAACAGGCTGCTGTTACTAGTCTAGAGCAGCAGCTTAATAGTACAAGGAAAGAATTGGATAGAGCAAAAAAAGAATCTGCTACAATGAAAGATGCTAATACAGTAAGTGATAATGTATTGTGTATGTACATGTACATTGTACAGTGTAGGTCATTCTCAGTTTAAACAATCCTGTAAAATGCATGTATGTGTATAATTAAAAAATATGAAGCCAATAGCATAAGAGTATCAATATGTTCATGTATGCCACCTGAGCCAATTACAAAAACATTCATTGAATACTATTGTACCTTAATGTACATGTAGTTGTAGATACAGACAATGTATACTGGCTGCTAGTAATTAACTTCATTTATCGTAGGTCTTGTCTAAAAGACTTAAAAGTGTTGGAAAAGATGTTAGCCATGAGCCAAAACGTGATCATTATCCATACAATCGTCATCATGACATTGAGCAAAGCAACGAAGGACCTCAATCTCTTGATAGTATATCACCACACACTCCATCATACCAGCAGCACCCTCAATCACCCAATATACACATCTCTAATGTTCACAATATTCCTATTGTTAGTGCTGATGGAGGAGACGAAGGACATCAATATCAAGAGAGAGATAGGAGGAGGGATGGACCAAGACGTCTTCAACATAATGCTTCAGACAGTAATATTCAAGATCAACCGGGAGGAGCTGCTAACAATTACAGACCCAGATCACACAGCAATGAGACTGAGAGACAAAGAGTAGCCAATCAGAGGAGACAAGAAGAAGAAAGAAGACGGAGGCAACATGAAGAAGAAAGAAGACGGAGGCAACATGAAGAAATGAGAAAAGGACAGGAGGAGGAAGCAAGAAGGATTGAGGAGGATATGAGAAGAAGATACGATGAGAACATAAGGAGGCAGAGAGAGAGGGAAGCAGCAGAAGAAGCTGAATGGGAAAAGGCACGACAAGAAGCTGATAGACTACTTAAAGATTTGGATGAATTTAGAAGACAAGATGCTCACCATCCACCTCGTTCGCCATTAGCTTCAAGTCAAAATATACATAAACGCAAGCACCAAGAATCAGTAGCAACCCAGGAACGAGAAGAAAAACCGAAAAAGAAAGGAAAGCAGCAACGGAAGACTGATGATGATTCAGACTCTGACATTGAAGAGAATAAACTGATTGATAATATTGATGAAGAGATACAGCAAATGGCTGAAGATGTACGTAAGGGAAGCAGAGGCCCTACTACAGCTGAGGTTCTGTTTGATGATGGTGATAGTTCGTTACCTTACGACCCGAATCTAGTTTGCCCAAAGTGCGGAAAACAATATCGTGTGGGGGAGATCCAGAAATTGAGGAGACATATAAATGAATTCTGCACAGGAATAAGATAGATATAATTGTGACTGTGACTGTCTAATCTACAAGTTTTGTTAACATTTTAATATTAGAGTTTATTAGTTATTATTATTATTAATTTTTATAAAAATCATGTAATGAGCCCCACCCTGCACCCTTAGCTTTGCAGGGCGTGGTTTAATATGGAAGCACAAGCTTCGGAAGGATTAGCAGAGGTATAATAATAGAACATGTTTTGCAATTGACCTTCTTTTCTATTGAATTGGTATATAATAGCAGGAATATAGCCCTCTGAGCGAGCAATTTATGCAATTGTTTGTGAAGCAGGCACACGCAATTGAGGAGAAGTTTAGAGAAACTTTAGAAGAAAATAGTGATTTGAAGGAGCTTGCAAACTTAAAAGCAACTCAACTGAATGAACTAAGTGCAAGACTAGAGGGAAAGGAGAGAGAACTGGAAGGAAAAGATTTTCAATTGAAAGAAAGATGCGAAGAAGTGATAAAGAAAGATAGAGAAATTGAACGATTAAGAGAAACAGTTGATCAGCAAGATATTCAACTGAGGAAGACAACTCTGGAATGCTTAGAATCAAGCAGAGAAATGAACTTCAAGCAACGCAAAATTGAAGAGTTAACAGAGACGGTTAGAATAGATTTGTGATAATAATATAATAGTGATCTTTCATAGAAAGCATCAATAGAAGAAAGATTTGTTGAGTTGATGA